CTCGAGCCGTAGACCGAATGTCACGACGACCGTTACTCTTGGACGGGACTCGAGCTAGCCCAGACGCGCACCCACTTGACCCGAGCTGGGAGAATAGGCTCGTGAAGATGCGAAGAATTGATACCGACGGGCCGGAAACGCAGGACGGCTGAGTTGCAGACGGCCGCAGTCCAAAGTAAAGCCGAGACAGATCGGCCGAGGAGGGTGAAAGAGTACACAGACTGGCAATCAGAATTGTCTCATACCACAACGGATCGGCGCTCCCTGCACCCGGCACCAATGGCGAGGCCGCAGGCGCCCCCCTGACAACTGGGCCCTCCTCATAGGCGCCTCTTCTGCCCTGCCGGGACGGAGACGAGGCAGAGGCGCATGTTGCCGACACGACGACAGGAGCTGGATGCGGTTGTGCGCACTTCCCTTGACCCGATCTGGCGCATATCGGACTCACCCGACAAAGGAGTGCGGCCTGGAGCATGGAAACTGCGATGCAGAAAACAGGCCGTCTCTGCCCTAGTGACAGCCGTCCAATCCAAGGTGAAGCTGTACCGGGAACAACTTGGCCTGGAGAGTGGTCAACCCAACGATGAGCACAGGTCGGCAGCATTGGGGGACAAGGGGACTGACTTCCGGCCATTCAAGCCCATTGGGACGGCCTTATTGCGCATGTGAACATCTTTTTGAGTATATTTTTGAAGTAATGTGTGAATGTGTGTGTGTGTGTGTGTGTGTGTCCATATGTGTAAACAGCTAAGTTTGCTGGAGGCATGCCTGTTCACGAAAGAGACGTTAACTTGCAAACATGTTTTTCCGATGATTTATAGTCTTTAGGGTAATTGCCAATGGTGGCACGACATAATCGTCATTTCTGGCAGAGGCTAGACATAAATGTAAAGGTTTTGGTGACTTCATTTCGTGTGAAAGTGCCTGATGAATAAATTCCGTAGGTCAATCTTACGAAAAGACAACAACTGAACCCGTCGTTGTTCTGTTGTCGTGTGATATTCTGCCTCAGTTCGTGTGAAGTCAGACTGAGATTGCATCAGTGATATGACCGAATGTGTCAAAATTGGAGCTCATTGTTGCAAAAGCCTGACATTTGTGTCACGTCAAGGATTGCTCGTGGACTGTGTCATTTTGAAAGTTGCAATAAAATCACAACAAGTGCAGAACAACCGCAATCAGACGTCACCTGTGTAAATCAACACTTTCACACCAAAAGAAAATCCCAATGAGTCTGTGTATATGAAAAAGAAATGCCCATTCGGTTTACAGAGTGGGCTATGATTTATCTGTTGCCAAAATAATGAATACATTTGAATGCGTGT